CTTGTCTGACATATTGCTTATCACAAATATAACGTCATCAGTAGACATGGGTGAAAAACATTGATTATTTGGCTGTTTCGCCAGTAGTGCATGAATCCGACAAAACGGTAAAATTGTTGGTCATTTTCTTGTCAATTGCAGTGGAGAGATATTTTCCAAAAAAGTTAAGATATCAGTAGGGTTAGTTATAGTTACGTTATCGCAGACTAATTCTGTAATAACTGCATTTTTTTTGTTTACCTTTTATTGAATTGACAATATTCCAAGTAGTTTTCTGTTTGTTTGAAGATTTGCTTATTATCGAGTGATAGTAACTAATCCTTTCATCACGAATAATCTGATCAACCTCTTTTTTAAAAGAATTAAATTTTGTTTCCAAATTAGTATCTTGAATCTCTTTACGTAGCCATGCTATGTTATTCAATTGATCTATTTTTCTTGAAGTGACTCATTATGAACAATTTTAAGTTTAAAGGTTATGTCGAAAGGCCACAAGCACGTTTCTAGAAAATCATCGAAATAGTCATTTATATTACACTTCTGAATGTCACCAAACCCATGCTTCAGTAATAAATAGCGAAATTCCCTCAATGAATTGTAGTTCAAATTTCTAATTACCCGTGTAGTTAGGTGTTCAGTGGTATTCATGGTATGATATATGCTACAAAAAATAAATTGTCCGGTATGATCTGACAAACCAGGGTCAACGTTTTCTACATTTACTACTTCTGGGCAGTTAGTAATTATGTAGTCGATTGACGATTTGCTGATTCCATATCCGGTAGAGGTAATTCGAGTGTACTTAGTTATATGAGACTCAAGCTCAAATGATCCAAGCAGATCGCCTAGTAATCTTTTTAAAATACCATTTCCAGAATAATCTATTTTCAAGTCGTCGGTCAAAATTACATAATTGAAGTTACAATAGAACTCTTATTGGGTAGTGGGGGCCTGTACGTAGATACGGTTATGCAATATATTTTCATAAAAGATACTGCACTGACTTCAATAACCATTAGAGAAAGGTTGTTTAGGTACTGGATTAGAGCACACAGATGTAAGACATTTCCTCTGCCGTGCCTCCATGTATACGATTAGTGCATGCAAAACAACTTACCAGACTGAAGCTTCCAAGACCAAGGTTTTGAATAAGATCATTATCAACCCAATGCTCTGATAGAAGTAACACATCAATACTATTGTAACCCAAAAAATATTCTAATCGGTCTATTTTATTAAATAAGCTTTGAATGTTCATGTTGAAGATTCTCAACTTGTCCGCACATTCCGCATTCCTAGCTCTTGCGGTTGTCAGCAGTATCAAGCTCTTCACTTGTCATTTGTACGAAATAACTTGTATGGTTTTATTAGCGTACCTTCCGGCCATTTGCCACTGTCAGAAACAATTTCTCTAACAGCAGAGTCGACTTTTATTTTAAACGATTCAGTTCGACTATTCTTCCATTTAGGAAGCACTTCAATTTCAAAGTTAATGTTGACAAAAAACATTTGCATATGTTGCTTTATGCCAGCAACCCCAGTCCCCTGCAAGATGCTTCCAACATATATCCAAGATTTTCGTTTGATTGCAGATATGGTAAATGCATCAGATGATATTGTTCCAAAAATAATATTACTTTTATCAGCTATCGGTTTATTTACAATATTTTTGGTTCCAGCGTTAATGAACTCTTTCGTTTTATATTGTGTTCTTGAATGAGAAACGTTTTTGCTGTTTGTTTCTAGTTGCTTTAGCTCTGGTTTGTCTTTTTTTATAGTTGCTAGTTTTTTGTGATGATTCGTTTTTCTTTTTGTTCCCTTCTGGATGTTTAGTTCCTTCAGCGTTACAATTAACAGATGTTTTGTTGTGATCAACTTGATCGTTCGGATGTGCCATATTATGCATAGCACCTTTATTTGTCAGTAGGTTGATTAACTCCACATTTGACTAGCGCAGCATCACCACCTCTTCATGCAAATCCTTCGTTTTTGCGACCACCTCACTCATCGCAGAACGTATAGCTTCGCCGAATGCACTTTTAATCACGTCACTGTTTAATATTTCACTCATGTCGAATTCACATGCACCATCATCTCTAATATCGGGTTTATTCGATCTCAAAATATACATTCTAGTCGATAATAAGAAACAGCAGCAACAAACACGTCAACTCAGCTAGACGGACCATGGAAACTCTCCCTCGGACCATAACTGGGATGGCCTTCTTGAATACCTCGCTGTCAAGATCGACTTCCTGAACATCAATCATCCCGCTTTAAAGGTATAGTTGTAGTCGTTGTTCTTGGCGAGTCAAGGTAAGACACCAGTATAATTTTATAGTATACTATCTCCCTCATACATACACATACAACCTACCCCTGTGTGTGAACTTTTATCCGGTAAGCTCAAAGACATACGTTTTTTAGTTATGTGTCTCCGTCTCGAAAACTTTGTCGTTACGTATGAGTGCCCTCCAATCATATTTGTCAGAGTGAGAACTTACTTGATATCGGCGTGCAATTTGGGTTGTCCTGTTATCAATCTTCAATATTAAATTGTACAATGCCCGGTTGAATACGATCAATGGAGAAGGCCGACAGCTCGTGCTAAATTGATTAGAGTATTTCCAGGAAGAGAATGAAAACAGTGGTCCCCTGTTACCCACTTCATGCGTACTGGAGACAGTAGCAGATGCGCTGAAGATTAGTCTGCGCAGTGTTCCGCCCATAGTACGGAGACTCGGTCTGTTTACTTATTTCATATGGAGTTGATGACGTAATCGCCAAGAACGGTGATTACAACTATAGTTGTCCTCTGCGATTTCAATGCCCATAATGAGCTCTGGTTGGGCTCAAACAAGACCGATCCAGCAGGTCGTCCAGTTGAGGCGTTCGCTACTACCCAAGAACTGATCCAGCTGGTGACGAGCCCTACTTGTTACCCCCGCGTTTCATCACACGCCAGTAGCCTGCTGGCTCTCTTTCTAATCATGTATCCTGCCCCCTACGGCAGTGCTGTCCTGCCCCACCCCCCTGGGTAGGTTAAGTTTCGGTCAGAACCCCCTGCGGCAGCAGAAACTTGTCCAGATCGCAAAATTTGGCATTACGGGCGTGCCGACTGGGAGGGGTTCAGAAATTTCTGCTTCACGTTTCCTCAGAGAGATGTTTGTTTTGCTGATGCAGATGCGTCGGCTGTCTGTTTCATCGATAACCGAAATTATCCACGTTGTGATGAAGGAATGCATGTCTCATACAGAGAAAGTTCCTAAACCTGGGCCCTACGGCTGGTTGAACAAATTGTGCGACACTGTTAGTCAGCAAAATTAATGCACACAGAACCTTCTTACAAAACTCCACTATAGAGAACAGACAAGCCGACGTCAAGTCCAGAAAAAATATAATGAAGCGGTCCGCAATGCCTAAGAACACGATGTAAAGGATATGCACAGGTAATGTCGCGGCACATTGGCAGTAGGTCGTTCTGGACGCTGGCCAAGCAGATTGAAAGGAACTTCTCCCAGAGTAACCTTCCACCATTTACGTGTCAGGATGGAACGAATGTAGTTGACACAAATGCTAAGGCGGAAGTGCTTGCCAAGATCTTTGCTGCCAACTCCACCATGTCCAAGTGCCGTCGATTCAAATGATTTCCTCCAAAATGCGGGAAGTAACATTTAAGCATAAAACCGGGTGCACTTGTCGCTCGACATCAACAAAGCTTCTGGTACCGGACTTGATTCTTGCCGTTGTATTGAAGAGGTGTGCAGCGGAACTTGCTCCAGTTCTTTCGCGTCTCTTCCAGATATCTTACGAATCCGGCACTTTCCCAGAAAACTGGAAATTTGCTCATGTCCAACCCATCCCAAAAGTGTTATAAGTAAGCTGTTGGAGAGGTGCATAAATTTTGAGCTTCTGGACTATCTCGAACGTCACGGCTTGATTAGCGACAGGCAGTATGGTTTCCGGCACCAGCGATCTACAGTGGACTTTCTAGTTTACGTCACACAATTGTGGCGTAAACTCATCCAGTCTTAAGCAGACGCCCATGTCGTTGCTCTTGATATCACGAAACCGTTCGATCAGCTGTGGGAACATGCAATCCTATGGCCTCCCAGAGAAGCTTTGCAGATGGGTGTCTGACTTTCTCTCTGGCCGAAAGATATCCATCTTGGTGTGCTGGTAAAGGAACACTAGCAGCGACTTCCTCTCTCACGAGAGTCCTGGAGGTTATCACGGCTTGAGGACGCCACAATCTTTTACAGTTTAATGCTTCCAAAACACAGTACTGTACCTTGACGAACAAAGCGTCCTAGCATCATCCGGTTTCGATGTATGGCCGAGTTCTGCCAAAGAGCCGTTCATTTCGGCTTATCGGAGCCGAGATACCGAGGACTTCTGATCTTATCAATAGCGGCAGCTGCTGTAAAAAAGCTTGGCTATTTGTTTAGCCCTAAAAAGTACTTTTCTCCACGTGAGCTCCTCACTCTAAACGAGGATTGCTCTCTTGTGTGGGATGCTGCCGCCCTGACTACATTACTCATGCTCGATGCTGCCCGGAGGAGGGCTGTCCGACTGATCGATGATTCTTCTCTAACAGACAGTCTCGCCTTTCGCACTGACGGGCCGTCAGCAATCTACCCATCTTCTACCGCTACATCAACAGGCTTTGCTCCTCAGAGCTCTCCTCCATGATGCCGCCGCACGATGTGCCTGCCAGACACATCCGCCTAACTTCGGCCTTCCATCCTAACCGCATCGAACTTCGTACATCCAGAACTGGCCATTACGACCGCTCCTTTCTCCTTAGGATGTCGAGATTGTGAAAAAATCTACAAGGGGAGGCTTTTCTCGGTTCTACTAACCTTAGGAAGTTCAAAAATGGGTTTAAAGTTGCTTTGGGATCCTTATAGCAGCCGCGGCGTTCTGGCATTTAGGCTTCTGCCTGCGCGGCTGCTACAGTGTAAAAAAAGGAATGGTAAGAAACAAGAACATAATTTTACCTGAACCAATCCGTGATGTACGTCATCCAGCAACGCTTGGTATTCATGGTGCAGACACCTGGTGGCGAGTTTCTTGCGTCTTCGCTTGTGCATGGTGAGGAAGCGGCCCGTCGACACCGCCGTTGGCCTGCTGGTGAGCGCGTCCAGCAAGACGTAGTCCTCCTTGGTGAACAGCCGATGGGCCATCTCGTCCAGGCCGCCGTCGCCCCCGCTATCCGGCCCTGAAGTAGAAAAAAGTGCGTCAAATACGTTGAATCTACACTTCTCACGCAACACTGTCCTCAGTTCGAAAAAAATAATTTTCGGCATAGTTTTGTGTGCCATATTCAAGATTTTTAAGTATTGGCTCCCCCTCAGAAAATTTGCTACTAATCTTCAAAAAGGTTTGGATACGTGAACGCAACATACAAACAGTTTCCACTTGCAAAAGTCTAATCGCCTTCTCTCCCCTGAGAAAATTTCCTGCGGGCGACCATGACTTTGAGCTGATACGCTGTCAATGCACTGCAGCCTATTCAGACCCAACCTCCTTTGCGACAAGGTTATATTCTCTTGCCGTACATTCATTCTAATTACCGGGGTTAGAAGCGCGTAAATATATTATCGCCAAAAAATGAGATACACCCTCTACCCTACCCGCCCTATAAGCTCCCACCGCCAAAACTAAACCCTCACAGTTTTCAAAGATGAGCAGGCATATCTGATTTTTTGTTTTTTGTCCGTAGCTTTGTTGGATCAATTTTCAAAACCTACAAAGTTTTTTTTTTGTAGTAACCTTGTGTAAACATTTCATCAAAATCCAAGGGGTACTTTTCAAATTACGGAGGGTCATACAAACAAAGTCAGAGACATAGTTTTTTATGCCATGTAGCATCCTTATTTTCGAAATTTTTCGCGAATACAATACTTATTCGCCAGTGGCATTGAAGTAAAAATCAAATTTCCTCGACTTGACAGTAGTTCGTACTTGCTTTCTGACCATCATTTCAACCAGTCGCAGGTGATACCGTTTTGCTGGCATTAGTGCTCGTCAAAATGAAACACTTCTAGGGTCTACAAAAGCAATGCCAGGATATTCTGGAACCAGGTCAACAAAAGGGCAAATGAGCTTTCAAAACAGAGGTCACCTACCCCATTATAATGAGAACGGATTGCAAAGAACGTAATGTAAAAAACCTATTCATGTATAATTAAGCTTTTCGTTTTCGAAACAGTGACTACAAAACATAGGTCCATATCTTAGGTACAACTAAAAATTTTGGGTAATCTCATTGCGGATTTTTGCGTTGCTTCTTGTGATGCTATCTTGAAAGAAAAGCCATGTTTTAAATGTAAAAATAACGTGATACGGTAATAACGCAAAGCAACGTCTGCCCTAATGTAATTACTAATCTAATAACACTAATCTGTCGATAAGTAGTATGCATTAAGTTCAGGATAACATTTTACTTGTCACAATTAAGAGTGCCTCTAGGATACTGCTTAATTAGCAATCAACTTGTTTGCAGAAACATTCTTTGAAGTTAATCTTTTTCATATTCACAAGGTACAAATAATGAACATTGATCAGAATCTTAATCTGAGAAGCTGGGTATTCATACTACACATTTTAGTTTTTAGTGACATGAACATGGAAATATTCCACATAAAATATAAAAATTGTAAGACACTTGCTTTGATCTGACAATCTGCATGAATTATAACTGAAAATTGAAGATGTAATGTGATAATATACCTTAGTGAACATCTTTATTTATTTATAGTTTCAATCCTATTTAAATAGGAAGTAAATGAATAACTCGTATTTAAGATGCTTTAATTGGTTTGTAAGCAGAACGTGACGTTATTAGTTATTATAAAAGCCTTTGAGGCGATAAACTATTCACTGGTACTCAAAAATTTGACATGTTTTTTTGATTTGATTTTGACTGATTAAAAGTGATAGCTTTGTGTTTTTGAACTGTTGGCAATCGTGATGAAATTCAGGACCATATTTACATTGGATATCAATGTTCATATACGAAATGTCAATGGCTTTTGTTTTAGAAAATATAAATAGTATGCAGCAGTTTGAAATATAATATATACGGCTCTGTCTTCAGATTCGCCAGAATTGTTTATCACTTGAAAATATGGAGTACCTAGAATTATATCACAAATAAATTAAATGTTGTCACGTTTTGACGTGTTGAATAGTTGACCTTTCGTGAAAATAGTTTTAGAGCTTATTTTGTTTACGGTTGAGGTAGATACTCGTATAGACCAGTCTACTGTAAGGCAGAGATATTGAAAAGCATCTACTTGTTTAAACAATGCTTTCAGTATTATCAGTATTATCAAGTTTGTTAGAACAAAATACTGCTGGTGCAACAGCAATCCAAAAACAAAATGAAACCTACGAACCTGTCAGGAAGATAGAATTTCTTCACCTCTTGCTACCGATACAACGACCGTCCATTATCAAACTACTTTCTATTAATTTCATTGTCGTCACAGTTGCCGCCGCTAGATTAAATAATAAATCATGCGTCGCTATTAGAATTTCATTAATATATACTGGTACCTAAAGTAGAATCTACAATTCCATGAGAAGGCGTCAAGTAGGCTGACTCTGCACTTCCCATGCAACGCTGACATTAGTAAATGTAGGATTATGTTAGGTCCAAGTGAGTCCTCTCAGTCAAACACGTTATAAGAACCAGCCAAGATACTATATCATCCCTGCCTGCGATAATGTCGGTCGCAAGGCAGGCTTCGGGGTATGACAGTCGCCGTTGCATCGCATCCTCCCGACCGACCTCGAATCTCGACTATAAATATTTCTTTTAATTTATAAGGGTAATGTACGAGGAAATCTTTGATATGTGAAATAGCTACTAATATGTGCCTAAAGTTGCTGGGGTTGGACGCGTCTAAATATATAGATAGATACATGGTTTATTGTCTTCGGATCATAGATATGTCTCGTCAAATATATATCTCTATTACCACTAAAACATGAAAATATATTTAATTATAAAAACATAAATTCGTCTAAAAAGTAGCGGTTAGAATAGAAAGAATCACAAGTAGTGCAGTGAGCAATAGAAAATAAAAGGTACGCAGACAAAAGTATTAGAACGCTAAAAAATGTATACACAACTTTAGCCTCTTATTGAATTTTATGAATTGAGGTGCATCACTAATACGGTGAAAGATATGCAGCCACTGAACAGTAGCATTTTTCTATTAACATATAGCTCCTTCTTGGACCTATTCGAGCATCTAATATCTTTGAGTACTGATGGCAGTATATGCGAAGATACAATCGGGCCCTACTTTGCTCTAGTGTTGTAGTTCGTGTTGAAGTCATTGTTTTGCAGAAACTGGCCCCTATGATAGAAGGTATAGAGGGCGCATTTAGAAATATATATACACGGAAGTTTTAAAAAGCTATTACGCTGGAATATTGCTTTACATGACTCTCCCTTTTAAATGTTAAATATTAACCTTACGATACGTTTCTGTAGAATAAACATTCTGGACGTGGTGCAGGCTTATATATAGACCATAGTGTGATTTGACAGATTCGAATACACCATTGCGTAGTACACATCTATCAGCGTTGATTTGGAGACATTTGGTTTCAATTTCAATATAGCATAGTACGGCCTATTCAGTTTTCTGCATACACAGTCAACTTGTTGCTATCCATTTTATTAAGCATCCAACTCAATACCCAGGAAGGTGTAGAGTCTGAGATGGTGCTGCTAATAAGACGTGGAGTAAAAGTGAACAATTACCTTCTTGTCAGTTTTCAATTTATCTGGCACCACTCTTCCATCTCAGATTTTATGATTCCAAAAGGTAAAGATCTTCAGGTGAATCTGTAGTTATTAAGGTCGATGTGTCATCAGCGTAATGGCGACTGAACCTGACAGCTTTAGATCGTTTATAAACAAGATGAAAAGAAGTGGTGCCAATACAGACACCTGAGCTGCACCTATATTTATTTTATAGATAGCTGACTGCACGCCATTCATCTAACTTTCTTCTCAGTCAGGAAAGACACTAGCAGGACGAGCAAGAAGTATCTAATGCAAATATTGAAAAGTTTCTCCCTCAGCAAATCTTCATTAATGATGTCAAACCTTTTTGGACACGTCGAAAAATACTCTAACAACTAGATTAACCGAGTCTATTGCCCGGTTAGTTAATAAACTCAAAGGAGGCTGTCTCAATAGATCGTGATTTCCTAAACCCATTTTGATTGTTGGAAGATGATGTATTTGTCAGTGTATATTTGAGAAAACTGACAGAAGATATTTCGAACGGTATTTTTCGACTTGCGAGGGATCTCCCTTTTTTAATATAGGTACAACAATGGCCAATTTAAGATTTTTTGGGAATCTTCCTTGATGTACTAACATGTTTATAAGCACAGCTAGTGGACCTGCAATTTGATAACACACTTTTAAGTATTCTTGTTGACACACCCTCATTTCCACACGACTTTTTATTTCGAAGGTTGTTACTCACACTGGTCACTTAATCTTCGGTAGTTTCACTGTAGAACATTGACCGAGCCAGTGAAATTGTTGTGGGCTGTCCTTCAAAGTATTCATGCAGCTTCTCTGCTTCAGTCGAAAAATGTCCTCCAAATGCGTCGGACACAGCTTCGCTACTCAGTGGATTCTGTATTTATTTGATTGGTACAGTTGCTTCGTCCCAGTTCTTTGTTTACAATTTCCCATACCTTCTTTGATTTATTTTCAGCATTTTCAATTATTATATGTTCATGGTATCGTTGTTTAGTAGCTGGTAGTAGATTTCTGTGTTCTCTTTTTCTTTGTAGATAATGTTGTCTTAGTTCGGAGTTATCTTTGTTACTTTGCAGAAGGGTGTGTATTTTCCCTCAGGTTTTTAATGGAGGATCTTACTTCCTCCGTCATCTAGGCTTTAGTCTTTGAGTTCTGCTCAAAATTTACTTCTCCTTCTAGACACGGGATATGAAAATATCGTAAGAAGGTATTGATGAAGTTCTCAAATGCCGTTTCTATGTCTTCATCTTCAGTTATCCTTCAATTTCTTGAAACAGGTTGAATTTAAAGTTATCAAGGTTTTCATTGTTTATTGTTCTTATCCCACGTGTCTCGCTGTTGTCTTTAGTGTTTAGTGGATTCGCTGGTTGACGTGAAGGAGATCGAGAGCATTTGGGCAGTGGGCGTATATAGTCGTATGTGGGTCAAATATTGTACAGGTGATGAATTGTGAAACTGAGATTTGTCGTCATGCATCTATTGACGTTATTGAATATTGTGTTGTTCTTGTTGATAGCGTAGCGATTAGGTTCGTTGCAGTGATGAACGAATTCAAAAGGTCTTGAAGCATCATGGTAGTAGTTGGTTGAGGACAGTGGATATTTAGATCGCCGCAAAGAATAATCTTGTCGCGTGTGGCTGATCCAAGATTGAGAAATTGCTTAAGATTCTAGAGAAAGGTTCTTATGTTACCAGATGGCGGGCGGTATACACATATTAAGTTCGTTTTTGAGGTTTGCAGAGTAACTATTGAGCCGCAGCATTCGATGTGTCGTTCTACTGAAAACTTCTTGGCATATGGGAGTTCCTTGGTAGCCTTGTTTCACGAATTCAGCACAGCCATTGTGAATATATTGGCTTCTGCAGAAATGAGACACAACATGTAAAGGTGTGTAAGATAGCTGAGGCGGGGGGATATCGGAAGGGTGCGAAATATCTCGCATAAAGAACTGGGGATGAGAATGATCTGCGCAGCATATTTGCTGAATGTCGATCAAAAGCGGATGCGCAAAAGAATTTCGCAGCAATGTTTGGACCCATTTTATTCGGCAAGTGGTTATCATGACTGAAAAATGGGTCCTCCACTGAACCAAAACAGCAGTCAAAGCAGTGGGTGGAAGCAGCCAAAGAAAAATTGATTTCATCTTCGGGAAATGTGATTGCCAGTGTGTTTTGGAATGCGAAAGGGATTCTGTTAATTGGCCACCTTGAAAAGGGTAGATCAGTTATTTCAATCTCCTGGTTCAACTGGATGCCAAAGTTCGCGAGAACTTTTCCGGCTTTAAGAAAAAAAAAAGATATTTTTCAATGAATATTTTGAAAGACTTCCACTTTCGAGAAGGAATCCAAATATTGGAGAAATTTTTAACCAAGTATGTTGGAGTCAAAGGAGATCATTTTTAAAGCAAAAATAATCGTTTTTCATTGCCTGAGACTGAGGGTAATGAAATCTGAACTCCAACATACCTTGGATTTTTAAAACTTTTTGAAAGTCCGTTTTCTTGGACAGTAAAACCCGAACTCCAACATGATTTTACAAATTTTCAAAAGTATATTTCCAGCAGACCAAAAAACATCTGATGATAACTTTATGGTAATTATCACAGCTTTTGGAGTTCTCTGAGCTTAGTCCTGAAGTAGTGCTGGTGGAATGCGAAAGCGCTAGAAAAGTGAACTGCGAGGTCAGATAGCTTTTATTTTCGACAGCATCGCCACAAATGCATTGTTATAACTCTATGGTAATTATCACAGCTTTTAGTGTTCTCTGAACTTAGTCATTAAGTAGTGTTGTAGTGTTGGTGGAATGAGAAAGCGCTAGAAAAGTGAACTGAGAGGTCGGTTTGCTTTTTATTTTCGACAACATTGCCACAGATGCATTGCTATAAAGCGTCAACCAGTATAGTAAAAATAACATCAGTCTAAAACATTCTTAGGGCAAACCGCCACACATAATGCGTGGCAGGTAAACTTGGTATAATAATATAATTTTCTTATTTATGTGTAGTGGCAATACTGTCCCTTTCGCTCTATACATTTGAAATTGTTCATAATGCAATGTGCGAGTATGTAACAATGGGATCCCACAAGAAATTGTGTCAACCAGTCGATACGAAATTGAGGTTAGGAATCATAGAAAGCTGATATTTCTCATTGTAAATTGTCACTACAGAACACAGCGTAGTGCAAATGTGACCCATATATCGTACCTCCTACTGTTGTTGACCTGTCACGCTATCCCTATCGATGACATTGTGTATGAGGAACTCGTAGGGTTAGCGACATAGTCGCACTGTCTTTATACAGCAACGTCGTCATTCGGAATGACACCATTATCCATGGATGCATTTTTTCCGGAAACCCGATTGGAGGCTACCGACATCGTCGAACATTTAAAAATCGACAATGAACCGAGGATTCGTTTTCTTGTACCACGATAGGTCGGTTCGTGGCTCGACCAACTACGTCACTTCACAAACTGAAAATCGAATGTCTGTAGCTGTACACTACACACAAAGAGTGTGTCCGCGATGGCAACAGTCGGTCGACCAGCGAGGTCTTACGAATTAACCAGAGTGTTCAAGAGTTCCGTAATGCGTGAAGCTGGTAGAGTACAGAAGCAAGCTAAGCTCAGATATGGATCGGGATATTTTTAGACTGGAAAATGTTCTGTGATTTTTGTCAAGAAAGCTAATTTGACACAATCAATTCACCAGCTTCATACCCCAAAGAGTGATACTCAAAGGATGTTCAGTAAAACTATTTTACAGGTTAGTGCTTGTTGCGTCTAGCAAGTTGCAATATTTGTTCAAGGAACGAATCAACCCGTCTAGTGATACTCATGTCAGAGATGACACAGAGTGGGGCGTGATAAAATTTACTTTTGAAAACATTGTAAATCAAAGTAGGTTATAGTCGAACGAGCTCTGTACTGTAAATGACTTTTTTTAATTTATTTTTTTAATACACCATACCTAAGATGTCCTGATCGATGAGAACACTGTTCCAAACGAAACCTTTAATTCTCAACTACCCACTATTGAAATTGCCTCAGTTCTTTGACGAATGTTTTGCTTTAATACCTTGAGATATCCACATAAAAAGACATCTGGAGGTGACAAGTCAGGGCTTCATTGTGGTTTGAAGTCGTTAAATTCGTCTTAGACATGCACGGGCAATACACAAGGTCGGTGAATTTCCTACGACTTCAGGAAGTTTTGGTTCCAAAATTCCAACAATCTGGTGGAAACAACTCCATGATGTGGTTCCAACAAGACGGCGCAACCTATTACATCTCAACGTAAGTATAAGGGTCGTTTCAATAATTAGAAAAATTAATAATATCCATTCATATTACAAAACTTGGTAAACGCCCTTAAGCATAACCTGCTTCTATTTACACTTCTTTCAAAAGTGTTCTTTATTTTGGCCCACACTGAATTTTCGAGATATTTAAACATGCTGTAACATATTATACGATATAAAATGTAAAAATTCTGCAATTTCATTAATCGAACATAACAACTTTAATGAACAATACAACACGATTAGTTTTAGAGTGATTTATGAAATATTAAAAGGCAATTCAATACAATGGAATCAAATGGAGAATGTTAATACTTTAGTTGAAAATAACGTGGATATAAAGTATTTATTTAAATCAACGTGTCATACGAATACTTGGATAGTTCCATCTTGCCAACCTTATTTTTGAACGAAAAATAACAAGGGCAAACAAAAATTCATCACTTCTAGGTTCCTTCCCTTCACTCTACCTAGTTCTCACATATATTTAGTATGAACAAAGTATTAGACTATCATTGTCTCATCATGTGAACTCACGAGTTGTGAAAGAATCGAAATCTAAATAAATTGATGGACTTACCTACGCAGGGGTGCATGAGGTGGCAAGACAGACTATGCTTCTTGCGGAAGCAAATTCCACATATGAGTTCATGCAACAGTTTACCTTTTACCTAGAAAGTTAATGTTGCAATAACTCGCCCCTTCGTTAATTTTTACATTATATGGATTCATTCGCCTTCGTTGGTTCTCACAGGTGTATTTTTTGACTTTACGCGACCTGTACATTAATCCACTATATACATATATCAGAATCGTATCAACATGCCTAATGCGGATACCAATACCTCAGTTTGATACATTGACGTTTGAATGTCTAACCGTAGACCTATATTCATATAAACGAGTATATACATATTTTTACAAACCATCGAGTTCGACTACAGATAAATCTTTAATTAACATTAACTGATATGCATAATATTGTTGGAGTATGGGGTGCATTGATATTCGAGATAAAAAATGGCGTCAAATTTGTTGACTGCACTTCCCACGCAACGCTAACATCAATCCATGAAGGAGCCTGTTTGGCACACATGAGCCTTTTAGCTACGTACATGTATACAAAAAAAATAAATGGTCAAGTCAGACAACCAGGCACATGCAATTAGTCCATAGTTCTTACCCATTTGATAACGTTGCGATCTAGAAACTTCCCCCCTGCACTACCGAAGGTACCACCATGTGGCAATGTTGCTATGACTAACCTCGCGACTCGCTAGCCACGTCATGGTCGGAGGGCGACGCAGGCTTATTACATAGACGCCTGTCATAAGTTTTAAGAGCAAATGTAGTGGGAACCCATTCTGATGGGTGTTTAGAATAACTAGGGTTGGAAATGGTCAGGAGCCTCTGAAACTTCAAAAAACGAAGCTTGAGCGATTTTTCTTGTTTTCATCTCCTAGGTCGGCCACAACTGGGTCGATATTCAAAAACTATAACACTTTTTCGTTCTGGTATAGGAGTAACTTTGTGTGAAAATTTCATCAAAATCCTAGTGGTTAAAAGAGGGGCCAAGGATAATCGGACAGACATACAGACATCCAAAAAACATATCCCATCATCAAAATTTTTCTTACTTACTTTTGTAGGCCCCAGAAATTGTAAATGCACTTGACCTCAAAAAATGACGTTAAATAGGTTGACTCTGCACTTCCCACGCAACGCTGACATCACTTAATAAATAATAATAAAAGGATTATGTTCCCTGAAAAAAAAGTTAGTTACGAACATGTATGGCATAACAAAAAATACATGGATCATGGATCTTTAGAATACCACCTGAGAAAATTTCAGACAACCGCTCTTCAAAAGGCTTTGGAGGCAGGTACACTCTCACAAAAAGCCTCATGAGAAAAATTCCTACTGGCACCCATCAATGTTTCTATGACCAACCTCACTGCTTGTCATCTAAGGTAGAGACCAGGAGAGTCTAAAGCGTCAAAAAAATTATTTTGTTTGGTTTTTGCCTGTAACACTAGTATCCTTTTGGCACAGTAGCAACCTTGTATAAAAATGTCATCCAAATCCGCCAGTGGCGCGAGAAGTAAAAATTTGAGGCTGAGATCTTACATTTGTTACAGTTTCATTTTAGAACGGAGAATTTGAGACTAATCTGTATTGCGTATTATTTGGAAGTACGTTTGCTTAAGTGTTATTTATATTTACCTTTAATACCATCGACCCTTACGCATTTGCGTGGAATAAAGCTAGAGTTAATAAACTTCACAAGGTGGTTCCAGTAACATGAAAATCCTGTTCTCTTGCCACCTTTCTTCAACCGCTCTCTACTTTGGTAGTTCATGGTCGCAGATCTTCAAATATTTTTCTTTGGATCACATCATAGGGTGTGTTGCACTAATCAGTTTCGAATGGAGGTTAAAGGTGCACCCTCATTGAGGGGAAGGGAAGCGAAGAGAAGAGAAGTGAAAAGCTTCCGCTGGGTTCTTTACACACGTTTAAATGAGACGCGGTGCCCGAGTGCGACGCGAAGAGAAGCGACGTTACGTTTTTCTTGTGTTATTAGAAGTCATAATAATGAATAATCAAAATCACGTGTTGACCTGTTTCTTTTTCTGCAAAATGTATAATATTTAAATGTACCGTATTCCTCCCAGAACGTGATAGGATGCCTAAATGCAACAATTTTCAGCCTACGTATATGGAGCGGCGAATCTACGAGCCCCTTCCCACTTCAGTTGGCCCACTTCAAGATTTGTTCCAAAATATGCCTTTATAAACTAAACATGACGAAACTATTTACTTCTAAAACAATTTATTTTCTCAAAAAAATTTTAGATACACTCTAGTCGTAAAAAATACATATTTGAAATCACTTAGACCTATAACTAATAGAACATCTGAACAATAAACAATGTGCGAATAAATGCGCGAAGTTAACAAAGCAACAATTGAAAGATTACCATTGGGTAACATCACCTTTATTTTTTATTACGGTTGAAATTCTTTGGGGCATAGCGTTAACCAAGTTTTGGCAAAAATTTGGTGTAAAACAATCCCATATTTCTTGAAGCTTTTGTCTCAGTTCGGTGATTGTACGAGCAGGATGTTGTCGTAGAACCTTTTTCACCTCGTGCCACAAAGTTTCAATAGGTGATAGATCTGGACTGCTAGAAACCCATTTCAAAAGTGGTACATTATTTTCTTCCATCCATTTTATAGCCTTTTTTGAGGTATGGCACGCTGCACCATCTTGCTGAAACACAAAATCTTGGCCGGATGTCAAACATTCTTCCATCACTGGTAAAAGCGATTCTTCTAAAATTTCCAAATATTTGTTTGTATCCACATTTCCATCAACAAAATGAAGTTTTCCTACTCCTTTTGATCACATACTGCCCCAGACCATAATGGATGCTGGAAATTTCACTTCTCTCTTCAGACAGTCAACATGGAATGCTTAATTTTTTTTGCGAATAACTCTACTGCGACTGTCACCAACACAAACTTCGAATCGGGCCTCATCACTCAATTGTATTGCACACCATTGTTGAGGTGTCCATTGTCTATGTTCTTTACCCCATCTTAGCCGATTTTTCTTTTGCAGTGGAGTTAATAGTGGCTTTTCTTTGGCCTATAAATAAGTTGTACAACTTTAGGGTTTTTACTTCACTTTTTTTTATGAAAAAACTTACCTTGCAAGTGCTAAATCCCAGTTTGTGGGTCTCTCTATGAGTTGTGGACCTCGAAATTCTCCTTCCAACAGCGTCACTCCACAGAGCACTTAATTGTAAATAATTGGCACGCCTGTTTTTCATGATTATTCTTCTTAATGCTCTTCGGTCGGCCTTAGTGATATTACTTTTTTTGACATATCGTGGCTTAATATTAACTGAACCAGTTACGTTATATCTTCGAACAATATTTCTCACACTGTACCGCGCTAAGTTGCAATTTCTGAGTATGATTTTCCAGAATTAAAAAATTTAATTATCAGTAACCGAATTTTCTCACTAATAACTTTTCCTCTACCCATTTTGAAAACCTTAACTACCCAAAACTATTTTAAACGTATTCTGACAGCTGTGATTAATAAAAACAATTGTCATGGCTTTTATTTTTCACAGCCACCTATGCGTTATAGACTTATTTTGCATTGAAATGAAAATAGGTTGATATGCTGTAATTGCAACATGTGTTATTTTTATGCTGCAAATTTGATTAGGGAGTGATAAAGTTGGTGTTTTCTACTATATATTATCAAAATATTCATTGTTAATATTTTAAACCTATAACACCCTGCTACATTTTTATTATTTGTGTTTGATAAGAAAAAAACTAAGATTTCAATAGTTGGGCCAACTGAAGTGCGAAGGGGCTCGTATCGTTTTCGACATTTTTCTATTTCTGTAATAATTCACCAATGGTCCAAAATTTGAAATTTCCGTCTGAACAATAAAATAACTACACTACCCAAAAAATTAAGGGAGCAAGAAAAAAGTCCAAATTTTTCGGTGATGTTTGTCAGGCTGTATTTCGGTGAAAAAGGGTCGTTTCGAGACTTTAGAAAAAGCATTTTGAAAATCTAAGATTCTAGTTTTCAGGTTTTTTAGGAGAATAATTTTAGGAGCAACGATCCTCATGCAAATTCAACACATTGCGCAAGAAAAATGTTTTACAAAATTTTTTATTTCTTCTTTTTAGTTCACGGGGTTGACATTTTTTTTCTCTTAGGTCATATATAAAATAAGTAGCACGACAAACTTAAGGTAGGCTTTGGACTGACCTTCCAAATAACAAAAACTTACCTATATAAAAGTGTCACCGTTTTTGAGATATTGAATTTTTTACCTTGAATTAAAAAAAAACGAACCTTTTCATCTGTGGTCTTTAGCTGCATGTACAAATAAGGTTATAATTTGTTCATTTTTTCTATAAAATACTTCTAGATAGTTGCTTTATCATATACAAATGGTAGTTCAAAGATATTAAGGAACCATGATAAAATAAGGACTGTTTTGGGATTTATAACCTTCTGAAATTGCTTCCTCAACTGTCATAAAATCATATCAGGAGCAGGTAATAATAACGTAGCATTGGTCTATTTAGCATGTCACTGATCGGTAACCAGTGCAACTTGAATTTAAATCCAATAATTACATTGTAGAGTGTGTCCGTCACTTATAAAAACAGCTATCACTTTTTTTCTATTCCAAATAGTACGTGTGGTGCCTTTCTGAAATCTGTATTCAATGAGCAATCTTTTTATTCAATATAATGCAGTTATAGTCCAGTACGTTTTTGTTTCACCACAGATGGTCAAAGTTGAGGAAAAAATATCAGAAATGTATAAATCCCAAAATAGTCCCTATTTGATAATGGTTCCTTAATATCTTTTAACTACGTTGCATTTGCATATGATAAAGCAACTATCTAGAAGTATTTTATAGCAAAAATGAATAAAGTATAATCTTATTTGTACATGTAGCTGAAGACCGCAGATGGAAAGGTTCGTTTTTTTAAATTTTAGAAAAAATTCAATATCTCATAAGCGGTGACACTTTTATATAGGTAAGTTTTTGTTATTTGGGAGGTGAGTCCAAAGCCTACAATCTCCTTAAATTTGTCGTGGTACTTATTGGACACCCTGTAGATCAGATAACCCGTTTATTTGGCTTCAATATTCTGTTTTTGGAATCTCGATAAGATCTCATTTGGCGCAGAGATATCCGATTTTGAATGAAAAATGATCATTTTGTCATCGATGACTAATATTTTTGTAACACTGGTGAACAAAATTAAAATCGTTTTTTGTGACATTGTCAAAACAAGGTGGTTATTATGTAAAACGTACCCAAAAAGCCGGAAATAGGGTTTGAATTTTTCTATCACCCACGGTTTTCTTGCAATAAGGCATTTTATTTGCGCTTATAAAATATAAGGATATGTGTGTGTAATAGTAATAATAAACACTCGAATAAACATTAATGTCAGAATGTTGTTGTCAATGTTTTACGGCGATATGTTGCTCCTGAAGTATCTCTTAACAATGTCCAGCAAATTGACACTCCATTTGCCTTGATACCGTTTTTCCATAGCAGAAATGTCTTGGTGGAACCGCTCACCATATTCATCACTTACCGCACCTAAATTTTCCGAATAAAAATCGAGATGAGAATCCAAAAAGTGAATTTTTAGAGACATGTTACATCCCATTCCTTTATAAGCATTAATTAGTTCACTCACAATATCTTTATAATTGACCGCCTTCACATTTCCTAAAAAATGTGGAGCATTCCAAGCTCGTAATTCAGTTTCATAACTTTCCATATTTGTGGACCCACAAATATGCCCTCTTTAATTTTTGCCTCACTTAGTCTCGGAAATGTTTGTTTCAAATGCAGAAACCCTCTTCCATTTCGATCCATAGCTTTCACAAAAATTTTCATCAGTCCCAACTTAATATGCAAAGGTGGAAGCAACACGTTTTTGGGATCAACTAGTGGTTCATGAACAATATTTTTGAGGCCCGGAGTTAATACCTGACGTAGTGGCCACTCCTGTTTATCATGACGATCTCGCGCACGACTGCCCCATTCATAAAGAAAACAACAATATTTGGTATACCCCAGTTGCATTCCAAGAAGAAGCGCTATTACCTTTAAATCTATGATCCATCCATATTCATTATAATGCTTGTTGCCGTTTTCGGTAAAAAGTAATGTTAACATCACCGTCTAGAAGATTCCATCCTCTTAATCTTGACGCTAAAAGTTCTGACTGGGATTTTGACAGATTTAATTCGCGAACTAAGTCATTAAGTTCGCCCTGTGTGATCAAATGCGGCACTGTTGAACATCCTGGCAGGTCAAACGAAGGATCGGAAATTTTTACGCTTTCTGTACCATCACTTTCAGAATCGGTGGATTCGACTTTTTCATCCAAAGACCAAGATTCTCGTGGAACTGGGAC